TGGAAAACTGTACGTTTATGTCACTGGAATGCACTAATCACCCCAAAAAATATTACCGCCACCGAACCCGGCGTGTAAATGGATTTAACTCTTTGAACGTACAATAGTGGTTGTGAAGCAGAAAGTCAGTTTATTTAGCACAATCGGTCAATTGCAGCTTGCCGTTGGCTGGAAACTGTACGTTTCTGTCACTGGGAATGCACTAATCACCCAAAAAATATTACCGCCACCCGGCGTGTAAATGGATCTAACTCTTTGAACGTACAATAGTGGTTTGTGAAGCAGAAAGTCAGATTTATTTAGCACAATCGGTCAATTGCAGCTTGCCGTTGGCTGGAAACTGTACGTTTTCTGTCACTGGAATGCACTAATCACCCAAAAAATATTACCGCCACCCGGCGTGTATATGGATTTAACTCTTTGAACGTACAATAGTGGTTGTGAAGCAGAAAAGTCAGTTTATTTAGCACAATCGGTCAATTGCAGCTTGCCGTTGGCTGGAAACTGTACGTTTCTGTCACTGGAATGCACTAATCACCCAAAAAAATATTACCGCCACCCGGCGTGTAAATGGATCTAACTCTTTGAACGTACAATAGTGGTTGTGAAGCAGAAAGTCCCGTTTTATTTAGCACAATCGGTCAATTGCAGCTTGCCGTTGGCTGGAAACTGTACGTTTCTGTCACTGGAATGCACTAATCACCCAAAAAATATTTACCGCCACCCGGCGTGTAAATGGATTTAACTCTTTGAACGTACAATAGTGGTGTGAAGCAGAAAGTCAGTTTATTTTAGCACAATCGGTCAATTGCAGCTTGCCGTTGGCTGGAAACTGTACGTTTATGTCACTGGAATGCACTAATCACCCAAAAAAATATTACCGCCACCCCCGGCGTGTGTAAATGGATCTAACTCTTTGAACGTACAATAGTGGTTGTGAAGCAGAAAGTCAGTTTTTATTTTAGCACAATCGGTCAATTGCAGCTTGCCGTTGGCTGGAAACTGTACGTTTCTGTCACTGGAATGCACTAATCACCCAAAAAATATTACCGCCACCTGGCGTGTAAATGGATTTAACTCTTTGAACGTACAATAGTGGTTGTGAAGCAGAAAGTCAGTTTATTTAGCACAATCGGTCAATTGCAGCTTGCCGTTGGCTGGAAACTGTACGTTTATGTCACTGGAATGCACTAATCACCCAAAAAATATTACCGCCACCCCGGCGTGTAAATGGATTTAACTCTTTGAACGTACAATAGTGGTTGTGAAGCAGAAAGTCAGTTTTATTTAGCACAATCGGTCAATTGCAGCTTGCCGTTGGCTGGAAACTGTACGTTTATGTCACTGGAATGCACTAATCACCCAAAAAAATATTACCGCCACCTGGCGTGTATATGGATTTAACTCTTTGAACGTACAATAGTGGTTGTGAAGCAGAAAGTCAGTTAATTAGCACAATCGGTCAATTGCAGCTTGCCGTTGGCTGGAAACTGTACGTTTCTGTCACTGGAATGCACTAATCACCCCAAAAAAAAATTACCGCCACCCCACTGCGTGTATATGGATTAAACTCTTTCAACGTACAATAGTGGTTGTGAAGCAGAAAAAGTCAGTTTATTTGTAGCACAATCGGTCAATTGCAGCTTGCCGTTGGCTGGAAACTGTACGTTTATGTCACTGGAATGCACTAATCACCCAAAAAAAAATATTACCGAGCCACACCCGGCGTGTAATGGATTTAACTCTTTGAACGTACAATAGTGGTTGTGAAGCAGAAAGTCAGTTTATTTAGCACAATCGGAACTCAATTGCAGCTTGCCGTTGGCTGGCTGGAAACTGTACGTTTCTGTCACTGGAATGCACTAATCACCCAAAAAATATTTACCGCCACCCGGCGTGTAAATGGATTTAACTCTTTGAACGTACAATAGTGGTTGTGAAGCAGAAAGTCAGTTTATTTAGCACAATCGGTCAATTGCAGCTTGCCGTTGGCTGGAAACTGTACGTTTTATGTCACTGGAATGCACTAATCACCAAAAAAATATTACCGCCACCTGGCGTGTTTATGGATTTAACTCTTTGAAAGTACAATAGTGGTTGTGAAGCAGAAAGTCAGTTTATTTTAGCACAATCGGTCAATTGCAGCTTGCCGTTGGCTGGAAAATGTACGTTTATGTCACTGGAATGCACTAATCACCCAAAAAAATATTACCGGACACCCGGCGTGTATATGGATTTAACTCTTTGAACGTACAATAGTGGTTGTGAAGCAGAAAGTCAGTTTATTTAGCACAAAGTCGGTCAATTGCAGCTTGCCGTTGGCTGGAAACTGTACGTTTCTGTCACTGGAATGCACTAATCACCCAAAAAATATTACCGACACCCGGCGTGTAAATGGATTTAACTCTTTGAACGTACAATAGTGGTTGTGAAGCAGAAAGTCAGTTTATTTAGCACAATCGGTCCAATTGCAGCTTGCCGTTGGCTGGAAAACTGTACGTTTATGTCACTGGAATGCACTAATACCCAAAAAATATTACCGCCCACCCGGCATGGTAAATGTCATTTAACTCTTTGAACGTACAATAGTGGTTGTGTGAAGCAGAAAGTCAGTTTATTTAGCAACAATCGGTCAATTGCAGCTTGCCGTTGGCTGGAAACTGTACGTTTATGTCACTGGAATGCACTAATCACCCAAAAAATATTACCGCCACCCGGCGTGTAAATGGATTTAACTCTTTGAACGTACAATATGTGGTTGTGAAGCAGAAAGTCAGTTTATTTAGCACAATCGGTCAATTGCAGCTTGCCGTTGGCTGGAAACTGTAAGTTTATGTCACTGGAATGCACTAATCACCCAAAATATATTACCGCCACTCGGCGTGTAAATGGATCTAACTCTTTGAACGTACAATAGTGGTTGTGAAGCAGAAAGTCAGTTTATTTAGCACAAATCGGTCAATTGCAGCTTGCCGTTGGCTGGAAACTGTACGTTTATGTCACTGGAATGCACTAATCACCCAAAAAAAATATTACCGCCCACCCGGCGTGTAAATGGATCTAACTCTTTGAACGTACAATAGTGGTTGTGAAGCAGAAAGTCAGTTTATTTGTAGCACAATCGGTCAATTGCAGCTTGCCGTTGGCTGGAAACTGTACGTTTATGTCACTGGAATGCACTAATCACCCAAAAAATATTACCGCCAGCCGGCGTGTAAATGGATTTAACTCTTGAACGTACAATAGTGGTTGTGAAGCAGAAAGTCAGTTTAATTTTGCACAATCAGCAAACTGCAGCACCAACTGTGCACGACAGCCACCAAAAAAAAAAAAATGGTGTATGTCACTTTAAATTTTCGATTCTTTGATAGCTGTGGCCCTAAGTAACGATTCTGTGTCCCTGAGTAACGATTCTGTGTTCCCTGAGTAACGATTCTGTGTCCCTGAGTAACGATTCTGTGTCCCTGAGTAACAATTCTGTGTCCCTGAGTAACAATTCTGTGTCCCTGAGTAACAATTCTGTGTCCCTGAGTAACGATTCTGTGGCCTTAAAGTCTCTGTGGCCCTAACTCTGTCCCTCAATACACAGAGGTCTGTCTCTCTTGAATGACCGGAGGCTAATGGAGAATTCTAAGATGGCCGCGATTTATAGCTCCACCATTACACAGAGCTGGCTGGCTGGCTGCTGATTGGCTAATGCGATCACATGTCATGATTCATGACTCATGAATGCATTATGGGTCAGCGCGCCTTGTCTGCGCGCCTTCCCAGAGATCCCCGCCCCATCTTCTCTATCCATTTTCTCCTGTCGCCACACATGTCGCCGCCATTTTTGGGAAAATTCGATTCGTGCATCCGAAGTTTGCTAATCTTCGGATTCGTCGCGAATAGAATTTTTCCAAATCTTCGGAACGAATTCCACTTCGTCATGTTCGATTCGCTCATCTCTAGTTAAGAGCTTGTAGTTCCTGGGGTGTGAGATTTTTGCCGATCTATATTGTGCGGAGAACTAGATTTACACATGTGGATCGGGTCTTTGTAAACCACCTGATATACTTCAGCCTGTTATAATCATAATGTTGTCCTCTCCTTCTTTTTTTGTACCCCCCATTCATTATTCAATAACATTTATACTTTTTAGTGACTCAGTAAGTCGTAGGACTAAATTGATTGCATTGGTTTCTTATCCTAAAAATATTTTACTTTTTTATCCCACAGTGGACCCTTACAGTCTGTCTTACATTCCCATATGGAAGAAAAAACATATTTTAAAAATATTCTTCCCAAATATATTGCCATATATTTAAATGCTACAATTTTGGCCATATTAAATATATTTCAAAATATATTTCAATAAATATAAAATCTGAAGAATATATTTGAAAAAAATATATTTTTTAAAATATATTTTTTGAAGTATATTCTTCAGATTGTTTTTAACATATAAAATATCATTTTAACATATGTTCTTACATATATTTGTAAATGCATCCCAAAAATGTAGATTTGTATTTTTAAAGACATGCAGTATATTTGAAATGTATTTTTAACAAATATTTTTCATATATTTTGTAATAAAAACGCATTTCAACAAGCAGTGTGTGTGTATGTGTGTATGTATGTATGTATGTATGTGTGTATATATATATATATATATATATATATATATATATTTATTGAAATATATTGAATATGGCCAAAATTGTGGCATTTGAAATATATGCCAATATATTTGGGAAGAATATTTTTAAAATATATTTTCAAATATATGTTTCTTCCATATGGTCTATGGAAGTTTTTTTCTGTTTTAAAGCGTTACTAAACCCAGGACCCCGCATTCACTATATCCGGTCTCCCACAGTACACAGAACATGGAAATTCAATTATTTTAGTAAATATAATCTGCTAAATACCTTTTCTCATCAGCAGTTAGAGCAGTCTTGTGACTTCAGCAGAGTACTGGTTAAAGCTTTGTAGGAGTTTCTTTCTGCTCTAGGAGGATATGAAACCTCTGACCCTCTGTCTGGACAGCGCTGATTGGCCCTGTGCTGATCACATGCACCCTTCCAAGAAAAAAAAAACCTCTTTAGCAATACAAACCAAACTGAACATGTGCATGTGATCACGGGTTCAGTCTGTATCAGGTGGTCATTTCAACAAGAGGAGGGGCAGAGAAGACAGGATCAAAGAGCCTTTTTACACAATGCAAAGGATCAACCCCTTAAGTTCCACAGTGAGTATAACAAGCATGCTTTACTGCATATACAGACTGATTTTACTGTTGTGGGTTTAGTAACACTTTAAGATATCTTTTTAGTAAGTATCATAGAAAATAGAATGTAGTAATTCATACAAGAAGCAGCCCTTCTAATGCTTCTATATCCATATTTGCATGTTATATGCTGCCTTTCTGTATTATATTTTTCTGTATTAATTTTATTAATAATATAAGGATCATTAAAGCTTTATAACAACACCTGCCGTTAGTGATTACAGTGACCATTGCAACCTACCTGTCTCTGAACATGATTAATTGCTTGCGCGCCGCCCTATAAAAGAAACACTGCTAAAGGGCGGCACGGGTGAGCAAAATCACATATATATATATGTGATTTTACAGCTCCAGGTAGGGAGCGTGCGGTAGGGAGCGAAGAGAAGGGGTCTGAGGACAAAGCCTTGGGGGACCACTACAGCAAGAGGAAGTGGAGAGGAGGAGACCCAAAAGAGCAGAGTCTCCAAAGCCAAGAGAGTGGAGTTTTGTGAGGAGGAGGGGATGGTCAACAGTATCAAATATTATGTCTTTCAATGAAGCAGCTGGAAGCTGATTCTCCTCCTCTCCCTCCCACAGCTTCCAGCTGCTTCATTGAAGAAGGAGGGAGGAGAAGGAGAGAGAGGCTGGATCTGCTCTCCCTCCCCCTGTGCTCGCCCACACTCCAGTCTGTGCAGCTTCAGAGGAGGTGTGGGCGGGAAATTGAACACAGCAGCCAACAGTTCTGATGCTTCTGAATGAGCATGTGAGTCTAACCTACCTTCCTTCCTTCCACCCACCCCTTCCTTACTTCCATCCACCTTAATTCCTTAATTTCTTCCACTCCTCCCTTCCTTTCTTGAACCCACCCTTCCTTCTACCTGCCCTTCTTTCCACCCACCCCTCCTTTCCTTCCTTCCACCCCTCCCTTCCCTTTTTTCCCACCCCTTCCTTCCTCCAACCCGTTACTTCCTTCCACCCTCCCCTTCCTTCCACCCCTTCCTTCCTTTCATCCACCCCTCCCTTCCCTCCGATCCTTCCTTAAGCCCCTTCCTCCCTTCCTTCCACCAACCTATTTCTCCCTCCCTTCCTTCAACCTACCATTCCTTAATTCCTTCTACCCACCCCTCCCTTCCATCCACCCCTCCCTTCCTTCCTTCCTTCCACCCCTCCCTTCCTTCAACCTACCATTCCTTAATTCCTTCTACCCACCCCCCCCTTCCTTCTGATGCTTCCTTGCACCCTTCCTTTCCTTACTTACACCCACCCCACCCTTCCTTCCAACCCTTCCTTCCTTCCTCCACTCCCTTCCTTCCTTTCTTCCTTCCTCCACTCCTTTCCTTCTTTCCACCCTTCCTTCCATTCCTTCCTTCCTTCCTTTTCTTCCTTCCTTCCTTTTCTTCCTCCCTTCCTTCCTTCTTTTCTTCCTTCCTTTTCTTCCTTCCTCCCTTCATTCCTTCCTTTTCTTCCTTCCTCCCTTCCTCCTTCCTTCCTTTTATTCCTTCCTTCCTTCCTTTTCTTCCTTCCTTCCTTCCTTCCTTCCTTCCTTCCTTCCTTTTCTTCCTTCCTTCCTTCCTGCCATTTCTTCCTTCCTTCCTTCCTTCCTTCCTTTTCTTCCTTCCTTTCTTCCTTTTCTTCCTTCCTTTTCTTCCTTCCTTTCCTTCTTCCCTTCCTTCCTTCTTCCCTTCCTTCTTCCTTCCTTCCTTCTTCCATTCCTTCCTTCTTCCCTTCCTTCCTTCCTTTTCTTTCCTTCCTTCCTTTTTTCTTCCTTCCTTCCTTCCTTTTCCTTCCTTCCTTCCTTCCTTCCTTTTCTTCCTTCCTTCCTTCCTTTTCTTTTTTCCTTTTCTTCCTTCCTTTTCTTCCTTCTTTCTTCCCTTCCTTCCTTCTTCCCTTCCTTCTTCCCTTCCTTCCTTCTTCCCTTCCTTCCTTCCTTTTCTTTCCTTCCTTCCTTTTCTTTCCTTCCTTTTCTTCCTTCCTTCCTTCTTCCCTTCCTTCCTTTTCTTTCCTTCCTTCCTTTTCTTTCCCTTCCTTCCTTCCTTTTCCTTCCTTCCTTCTTCCTTTTCTTTCCTTCCTTCCTTTTCTTTCCTTCCTTCCTTTTCTTTCCCCTTCCTTCCTTTTCTTTCCTCTTCCTTCCTTTTCTTCCTTTTCTTTCCTTCTTTCCTTCCTTTTCTTCCCTTCTTCCCTCCCTTCCTTCCTTTTCTTCCTTCCCTTCCTTCCTTCCTTTTCTTCCCTCCCTTCCTTTTCTTCCCTCCCTTCCTTCCTTCCCTTCCTTCCTTCCTTCCTTCCTTTTTTTTTCTTCCTTTCCTCCCTCCCTTCCACCCCTCCCTACCTTCTTTCCACCCCTACCTTTCTCCCTTCCTTCCATTTCATTTCTTCCTTCCTTCCCTTCCTTCATTCTGCATAAAACACTTAACAATGACATTTCATGACATAATTTACAGGGCGTGTTTAGGGGCAGAATTAGGGATGGATAGGTTAGGGGTTGGGTGGGGAAGCTGGTGGTGAGTAACTCTTAAGTCCTGGCTAGTAGCTCAGGACTTGAAATTTTGAGCCCTGATATAGAGGTTGACATAAATATCTCAATCTCAGTGTTTGCTGATGATACAAAGCTAAGTAGGGCAATAATTTCACAGCAAGATATAGAATCTTAAAAGAAGACCTCAATAAAATAAAGGAGTGGGCAAGTACATGGCAAATGAGGTTTAATGTTGAAAAATGTAATACACTTGGGAGCTAAAAATATAAATGCAAGTTACTTGCTAGTGGGAGAACCTCTGGGGGGAATCTAGGATGGAAAAAGATCTGGGGGTCCTAGTAGATGACAGGCTCAGCAATGGCATGCAATTCCAAGCTGCAGCAAGCAAAGCTAACAAAATATTTGCATGCATTAAATAGGGAATTTACTCTAGAGATAAAACAATAATCCTGCCAGTTTATAAAACTCTGGTTTGGCCTCATCTGGAGTATGCCATCCTGTTCTGGTCATCAATCCTCAAGAGGGAGGTGCTGAAACTGGAGAGAGTCCAGAGAAGGGCAACTAAATTAATAAGGGGACTGGAGGACCTCAGTTACGAGGAACGGCTACAAACCTTAAACTTATTCTTCCTGGAGAAGAGATGCCTGAGATGAGATTTGATAGCAATATACAAATACCTAAATGGAAATTCTAACATAGGGAATAAACCATTCTGTCTCAGGGAATGAAAGAAGACACGGGGCAATGCAATGAAATTGGAAAAGTGGTTTAAACCTTAAACTGCGTATGGGGTTTTTCACTGTGAGGGCAGTAAAGATGTAGAATTCACTTTCACAATTGGTGGTGTTAGCAAGAAGTATTCATAGTTTTAAAAAAAAACTCTTGGATGGGTATCTTAACAAATACAGTATACAGGGATATGGGCAATCGTTTTTGATATGAACACTCACACACTAACACAATTTGAACTGGATGGACTGGTGTATCTATTCAACCTTACCAAGGATGTACGTATGTAAATCATTAGTGCGAGACCTTCTGTGCTGGGAGTATGCTGTGATAAGGATTTTAAGTGTGCATCCTATGAAGAAACAAAACCCCGCAAAGTTTTGGATAGAGTAAAGAAGGACTAGAACCCATGTTATGTTTTCACTGCCATCTGGGCCTCCGTTAGAGGGATTTACCATAATTTCCTGTTTGGCTGACAAGGTTTATCAGACAGGAAGAGAAAGGAACTTTCCAAAAACAACACAGACAGAAATAGAAATGACTTTTCTTAGTAAAGTAAAAGGCTAGAACTCATAGCAGATTTTACCAATGTCTGGGTTCCTGTTGAAGATTTTCTATTATCTCTTTCTTTCTCTCTCTCTTTCTTTCTCTCTCTCTCTGCAATCCTTCCCCAATTTACATACTTCTGCCTGTGGAGAGTTTTCTAAAATTAATACCCGCACATACATTGCCCTTTTTTACAGCAGGACTCATGGGTATTTTGGCCTGCTGCTTTGCTTGCTGCATGCGCATTAGCAAGCTCATCATTTTTTATATTTTGTTTTTATTTTCAGGTAAAATGTTTGGCTCCAGCATACCTCGGATAACTTTATCAGAACAGAAGGCACAAATACAACATACGTTGGTGAATTATTGCTGCTCTTGTTCATTTGCGGCCCTCCTATCCCTCTTGTATTGAACTGTATTGTCTCCCTTTATATTGTAAAGCAATGAGCAAACTGTTGGCGCTATATAAATCATGCATAATAATAATTTGTGTCAGTAAATAAATCCTAATATCTGACCAAAAACGCCCATCTTCTCGAAGACTTAGGCTATAATATATTTGCTTAATCAATAAAAGGTGTATCCAATATTTAAAAACAAAAAAAATCAGACATTTCCTAAAACATATTTAAGGGACATTTCACGGCATAGTGTGGCGATCAGTAGTTTTCTGTGTCCTGTTCACACTGCAATGAAGCCCGGAGCTGCACTGCAGACAGGCTGCATTTTATCACAGCACACACACTGTACGGGATTTCATGTCACTTTGGTGTACTTTAAATAAAGTTGAGTGAAAAAAGGGAGCTGTGTGATGTGCTGAAATGTGCATCACACAGCCCCCTACCACCAGCTCACTGCAGCCGGAACGGACAGCTGCTGCACAGTAAACCACTGCGGTTTACTTTGTGGCAACTGTCTGTTTATATGTGAACAGGCCTTAAAGTGATTCTAAAGGTTCATTTTTTTTGCAAATAACAAGCATGTCTATACTTCCCTGCTGTGTGCAGTGGTTTTGCACAGAGCATCCTGGATCCTCCTCTTCTCGGGTCCCCTGCAGGCTCGCC